AGCCGAGCCCCGTTTTTCTGGGTCCAGGGGGACTGAGTACATTTTCCCCTGCTGATCTCAGACGACATGAGCTTACAGTGCAAATTGATATTGATCCAGCTGGAGAGAGTCTGGGGTTCACCGAGGTTCTATGGGCTGAAAGCCGGCTGAAGGTCATGTCTCCTCTAATGTGGGTACAGTCTGAATGAAGTACATTTTTTATTTTCCTTGGCTGGAGACGACGCAATTAAAGTCTTACTCAATTCATATGATTATTTAATTGCAACAATAGCGGTAATGTACTTTCTTCAAACAATATCCACTGATGAAGACTCTCTATCGCCATCACTGTACTCTGTGGTTCACTCACAAACTATTGAAGGAACTTAGATAAGGGGATGTAACTCAGTGTGAAGCTGGAACCAGGAAAAGACTTTGTGAGCTTTAAACCTCAAAGACACTGCAGGGGGTTACTGCACCCAGCCATTAAGTAGCCTGCCATTTTCACTTTCACTCTTCACCATTCATATGGTTCACAAATGGGGTATGTTGTGGTAATTAATGAGCTTCAGATGTGCCAGAAGGTGGATTTCTTCTTATTCTGAGGGTTATTTGTTTCCTTTTGCTTTTAGTCTTTATGCAAATATCATAAAGAACAATGTCGCTTTTAGTCTTTTTTTTCTCTCATAGACACGAGTATGTTTTTCTAATTCCTAAATTTACTAAATCTAATTCCTGTTCAGCACAGAAGGTCTGAGAGAGTGCGTGAAGCGGTTAGCGGATGAGTGGTTAGACAAACGGACACACAAACAAACACACACACACACTCACACGTGCACACACTTCCTACTTTAATGGATGAATTGCTCCCATTGTGTTAGCAGCAGCGGTAAATGCATTGCTGCTGGGATTCTGCCATTTCTGTTTCGACACAACACTGAACCGTGGAAATCAAACTCCCCAGAATGTCCTTCGGGTATGATAAGATTATTCACATCTGCCAGAGGACTGCGAAACCGCTGCAGCCTTCCTGAGCAACCTTCAATCTCCTCACCACGAGAACAACACACACGCTGACAGCCTTTCTCATTATTATTAAGGACCCTCAATCAGTTTTAGGGAGGAAGTGAAAATGTCAGGCTTCTTCTCTGTGGGGATGCTGATGGTTACTGTGACTCTCAACTCTAAACTTTAACCCCCAGCAGTCAACTGTACCGCACTGTGTGGAGCTGTATGTATTATTAATGATGGCCAAATTCCACGCATGAAAGGCCGGCATTGTGGGCTCCATGAAAGGCCGTGTGTCTCACTCGTTATCTCTGTCACCCGGTTTCTTTTTATTTTCTCTTTCTTTTTTCAGTTTTCCGCAGTAAATCTTTTTCTCTCCTCTTTTCTCTTTGATCAGTTTTTTTAAAATTAATTTTCTAATCAATTTGGTTAAAAAGTCTTTGTCAGAATCAGTTTGTCTCCAGACTGTTTCCTTCCTGTCTCTGTGATGAATAACAATGGAATGTGACCGGAGACAACAGCTTTTTGTTTTTATTCTCGGTTTCAACAATGCTAAATTGTCATCTGACAATAATTCACCCGAAAATTCTCCCCTTGCTGTGTTTGCCCATTATAATTAAGTCGTTTTCGGGATTGTGATGCTATTTTACATATTTATGCAATAAAAACATGTTCTGAGACAAATAAACATACACTGACATGGTTTCCCTCATGTGTTTACTTCTTATGCACACTCCCATAAATTTACCAAGAGTTTTTTTTCTGTGTAAACATAACAGATACCCTGCACATTTCCCAGCACTCTCACCTCGGTGTGGAGTCTCCAGCTCACCTGAGCTATGAAAACCACATCTGAGGAACGGCCAGCGCGCCATGGAGGTTGGATGTGAGTCTGCTGCTCTCCACTGGACAAAGCATCGCACTGCAAACGCAGACCTCCGTCTCCCCTGCAGTCGCCTCTTTAACCAATGAAAAGTCAGATCAAAATAACCCCAATCAATGCCACAAGTTCTCCATCTTTTTGCCCCACCTCTGATCTATTCGTGTGTGATAGAGACTTGGTTTGTATCAGATCCAGGACGGCTGCCACTCAGCTCAGCCTTCCCACTGAGGATGAAGTGCGATAAGATGAAGCCCATGAAACATTTCTTTAAATTGCTTTTGAAAGCCAAAAAACAAATCAGAAATGCACAGTGTGATGATAGATAGTGAAGTTATTATTATGTTTCTGGGCAATTTAATTCAATTCAATTCAATCAAATACCTTTGTAATATCGACAGTGAGACAGTGTTTTACAGCTCGCAGAAATTCTGTGTAATTCCTCAAGCAAAAGCTATCAATAAAGATGTTTTTTAAAGTACAAAGCTGTAAGAGAACGTAAGACAAAGGTGTGGACTATGTTTCAAGGACCCCTAACAGATCATTAGGTGTCTTTACATTTAGTCAAACTAGCATTTCCATGATGAAAAAGGATGGGACATCTGCGTCCCTGTGGCATTAAAACTCTAAAGGGGACTTATCTCTGTCATTAATTAGCTCTGTGGTCTCAGACATTTTAATTAGTCTACCGTCACTCTCATAAGACAAGACAAGAGTGAGAATTAAAGACCTGTCGCAGTACATCTCAGTGTTTTGTTGCATTCCACCTCTTACTGAAAGGATCACACAGAGGCAGTCGTCTGGCTATTTCAGGCTTTTTCAATTAGAGAGTGCTGGGGATGATATGAGATGGAAGTGGTATTAGGTCAGGGGCAAGAAGTCCAGGCCCCTTGGTAGATGTTAGAAGAGCTGTAACAGTAAAACATTAGGAAAAAAAGAGCAATGCAAACATACCTCAAAGCTGCAATAATCACCATTTCATATTTTAACTTTGGATCAAATGGATGTATGGACAGTAGATCGCTAATAAGACAAATGTCCACTCCCTTTGCAGCAAGTTTGAACTCACGTCTGCGTATCACTGCTCTCATCGGGGTTGGCTCCAGATACGTAAGTCTATTTTCAGTGAAAAACCTCTAGACCGCAAGATACATCACACTAAACCTGCTCTGTGTAAAATAGGAGACATACTTTACCGACTCACTGAGTTGCAGCATTCGCACAAAAGGTGACCAATACCTATGTTAAAATATTAAACAACTTGAACCGAGGATTTTTTTTTTTTATAACATCAGCATCAAATACATCTCAGTAAATATTGATACAAGCCAGAAGACCCGAAGACGTTGACAACCATGAGAAAGGCCGCGCATCACCACGAAGCACCTCCTTGTTGAGATACATTAAGCACATTTGGGATGCCGTTAATTGATTAAGTGCCATGTCTATCTAATTAGCAGTGGTGTGTGAACATGAAGGCATGGTTTTACATTCAGGGCGATCACTCTCACAGAGGTGACAATCCACATCACAAGGCCCATGCGTCACGTCCCCCTCTCTCCCCATGGGGCAGAGTGCCGATCGTCTTCAGGCTTTGACTTGTTGTTTGCTAACAGGATTTGAGGGAGGGGCCGCCGGCTGAGGGCCCCTCGGAGAGAGCACACATGTTTCGTTTAGTGTCAAAACCAAGGCAGAATCCTCCAATGTCAACATCTTTATTGCGTTTCACATCCGCGGAAAGGTTCAGGAAATCGTACGCGTTTGCATGTGACCATTATGACGTGTTGTTTGTGCCGCAACGAGCAGCAGTGATGCACCGACTCACAGATTTACTTCCCCATTCATGGGTTTAACCGCACTGCATGGGTGTGTGCGATGTATCACAGTTGGTGATTTGTGGGTGAATTAAAATTCTATTGATCTAGGCAGAGTTTTCCCAGCTATCCCTCGGGGTGATGAGGTCATGACTATGGTTTAATCATCACTCGGCCGCATTGATCGGGAACACGTGGTTGTTTCACAAAGATGTACTGAAGAGTTCATACACATAAACCCACATACACACATCAACTGAGAAATGGGGCAACTTCAATTATTCATATTATTACAAATGTCTCACGCCATTTCTGGTGATCCCAGCGCAATCCATGAGTCATGGATGAATTCAGGATTCAGAATAGTTTGATATATTCCTCGTCGATATGATATCTTCCTAGTCGATCTGCATGAGGATCAGATATTGATTCACAGTAACCGACCACAGTAAAAAAAAAGGAGCCTGATAGCACAAAACTAAAAGAAAAAAAAGAGAAGCACAAGATTTTGAGGGTTTGTAAGACAACAACGATAATGTGTAATATTTGGGATAACGCATCGGACAAAGTGGGTCACTTCCTTGCCATTTGGGTTTGCTAACTTTTCAACAGTGGCGACATTTTGGTAAAACTCCACGTCTTAACTCTCGAGGTTCCCTTTTCATTTTGAAATATTGCACTCGTTGTTGTTGTTTTTTGTCAATTCCAGTTGACTCAGTTGGTCTGTTTGGGAAGACTTCTGCTGTGAAGTAAACCAGAGACTCACACGTGGTGTTTGGTGGGTTAAGCAATCAGCTGACTGTACAGATTGCTCTAGATAGGCCTTTCCAGTACATTGTGTGAGCATGAGTCAAGCAGCAGTAAACTCAAGGATCGGTGATGTCGAAACTAAGGTGCGGCAGCCGGTCTGCGTGGGCAGCTACACAGCAGCAGTGACTTGGAGGTCGCAGCTGCACTGCACCTTTAACCAAACACCGGAGCGTGTTCGCGGAGTGACGTAGGACGCAGATCGCGTGCTGCGTGCGGGCCGGAAGCGCCGCAGAGCTTCACGTCGTCAAGTTAGCTCGAGTAACAACGGCACGAAATGGGAAAATAAGTTTGGGGGATTTTCGTTGGAGAGAGCAAACTATAGTTATAACACGGCGTAATAGTTGCAGCAGGAGGAGTTGGCAAATAATCTAAAATCCGAGCTAAATTAATTTAGGAATTGTTGTTTTCAACAAGTCGTATCGGGGTTGATTTGGCAGGGTAACGGTCACGACGCGTTAGGCGCCTTTACTTTGATAGCGCGTACCGGAAGTGGGCGGTTCTGGCCACGGTTGACTTGACTTCATCACAGCCTGAAACGGGCGCACGGTGGCCACTTGAACGAAAACGGGGGGAAGCTTGTTTTCAAGGACCGGCTCTGCATTCGTCGGGAGCCCAACATGCCGCAATACAGATGCTAAGCGTGGGTCGGGAACAAGCGTATCTAACCCCCCCCCCTCCCACCAGCGGCGACAGTTACCGGCCACGCCCCGTACCCACCGGCCCGAGCCCGTACCGAAAAACGGCCGGGCGGAGACGCGACGGCGAGCGGCTTTGAAACCCAGCAGGGCGGCTATCGGGCTCACGGCGGAGTGTCGTGCTGTTTTTTGCGGGGGGAACCATGAGAGAGTACAAAGTAGTGGTTCTCGGGTCCGGAGGGGTCGGTAAATCCGCGCTAACCGTCCAGTTCGTGACGGGATCCTTCATAGAGAAATACGACCCCACGATAGAGGATTTCTACAGGAAGGAGATCGAGGTGGACTCCTCTCCGTCCGTCCTGGAGATCCTGGACACGGCGGGGACCGAGCAGTTCGCCTCCATGCGAGACCTGTACATCAAAAATGGCCAGGGCTTCATCCTGGTCTACAGCCTGGTGAACCAGCAGAGCTTCCAGGACATCAAGCCCATGCGGGATCAGATCATTCGGGTGAAGAGGTACGAGAGGGTGCCGATGATCCTGGTCGGAAACAAAGTGGACCTGGAGGGGGAACGGGAGGTCACGTCCGGGGAAGGCAAGGCTCTGGCGGACGAGTGGAACTGCCCCTTCATGGAAACTTCAGCCAAAAACAAAACGTCGGTGGACGAACTGTTCGCGGAGATCGTCCGACAGATGAACTATGCGTCGACCCCGAACAGCAACGACCAGTGCTGCTCGTCCTGTGTCATCCTCTAAAGAGCCACGACCGGCCCTCTTATTCTTTGCTCCTTCTTTTAAGTTTGCGATGGTGAGTTGGTGACACCGTGAAATGTAACCGCGTAACTGTGGGATTTGTAACTGTGGTCCATGTTAAGTATCGTGAGATAGTAATGGCCGTAATAACAGCAGCGTGCCGGAAGTAAGGCTCCACCTGGATGCATTAAGTTTATTGTCACGTTCTTGATCACAAAAGCACGCAGTTGGTTGATAACATACAGGAAGACAAGTGCACTCCATTGTTTGGCTCTGCACATTGGGGGGGAAGTGTGTGTGTGCGTGTGTGACTCCTTTTGCAGAACTCAAATATGTCCACAAAGTTAAGTCATTGTGCACCTACAAGTTTGGAGATGCTAAACATCTGCTCAAATGCTTCTTTTCTCCCAGAAGGAGGTTATCAGGAGTCGGGAGATTGCAATGTTCTTGTGTGGCCTACATTCAGGGCTCAGGCCACTTAGTTTTTCATGAGCCGAGCCCTGGATTAGCCTTGTTTCGGTGTGTTTCTTTTCGAGGTTGTTCATCCATCACTCTTCTTATCTCCTGTTTGTGGCAGTGTGTTGCAGCAAGTGTGTACTGTTGAGCTCTTCTCCGTGTCTCACCCGGGCCTTGGAGGAAATACAGGGAGGAATGCTGCAGGGCGACGAGAGGAGGAGGAGGAGGAAGGGAGCAACTGAGGCTCGGACGGAGGGGGCCACCCTTCAGGAATTCTGCTGAGTATCTTTGCTGCACGATCAGTGTCCACCATTGATGTCAACGCAGTGTCACATCCAGAGTTTTGGAAACCCCCTACCACCCCCCCACCGCCAAGCCCCCAACTCCTAACCAGCTCCAACTGTACTCACAACTGGGACTAAAACCGCTAATGGAAAAGATATGGAGGGCATCGCTTCGAGACACTCGTGAATGGATATTTGTGTATATGGAGACACAGAGAGAGTATATTTTGTTAAATAAACTGCACAGTCAGGCGCTGGTAAAGATTCAGGGGGGGGGGGGGGGGGGGAGATCTCCGCCCCGATCCGTTTTGAGGCACAAAACTCCCAAATCCGTTTTTTTCTTTTTCTTGAAAAAGTAAAAATAAGAAGACACCACTTGTGGAAAAGAACACAACGAGGGCCACTTTTTTTCCCCTCCACCCTCTTTTTCAGCGGTCGAGAAGACCTTTAACTATACGACCCCGGGGAACGGGCACGTTCCGCCCAATGTGTCGAAGGGCTCTTCCCAAAACAGAGCAGCCTGTTCCGCTCTAAGTGCCACACTACAAGTTACCACCAAGAAGAATCTTTCTACTAACCACAACTATAAGGAAGTGGTCCTCGTGAAAAATCTCCGTTGGGGGGGAGGCCGAAAAGAAACTACAATGGGCTTTTTGTTGATGGAATGGCGGTTTTGTCTATGTTTTACGTCGGCCTTTTGGAAAGTCTATGATCTCTTGAAATGCACAGGTACTGGAATCTCCCTAGACTTGAGAACAAGACCAACTGCTTACCTTCCAGACTACTTAAATCAAATTCTGTTTATGTTTTACTTTGTTGTTTTTAACAGGAAATGTGATGATGTACCATTGACAAATCTAACCTGATTGTAAGTTTAGTTTCGGACATGCCCTTTAACAGCGGGCTGTCTGTTTGAAAAAAAACAAGACTTTTAATACAAATTGCATTTTTTTAAAAAAGAAACCAGGCTGTGTTTTCTCTTTTGTCGACATGATCCACTTGTTTCAACGTGTTACCACAATAGCTAATTGGCAGTTTTGCTGATCCTAAACAAAGTAGTCTCGAGCAGCTTGGACAAGAGTTTATCGTTGCTTAACCGCCAGCTTGAACACGCACGTAACTGGATTACTGCAAGTTACCGCTGTAATACAGTAGATCAAAATGTAAATCTTTGGGTGTGTGCGTATAATTTACCGTGGCATGAATTAACCCAGGCTTCCCTAAGGTCCGTGATAGTTATGGACAACACATACGGCTACATGTAGTAGGACCAGAGCAGAAAAATGCAATATGTTTGACTTATATGTTGACAAGTTCACTGGGCAGCTTAAAGTCAAATTTACCAAATGCAAATACCAAAAGAGTTACCTAAAAGCCATTTTGCCCCAAAGCTTTTTAGTTTTTATTTTGTTGTGGTTAACAAGCAAACCGCTGTGAACGGTGTTCACGTGGTTTGTGTTGTGTTAACATGACGCTGCTAATCTCAGCAGGGTTACTGTCATGCTATCAGGGCCCGTGCTATGCGCCCGATCAGCAGGGATTTGTGTGAAGATAATTGTTAAGTACTTAAGTAGATTTGTCATTCCTGCCGCTTTGATGTACCTCAGACTGTAATCCAGATGAAAACACCTCTATCCGCTCGGCAACCTTAGCAGATGAATAGACGAGGCCGGGCCTTCTCCACCCGGCGAAACGTCTCCTCAAACTGAGTGGGTGTAGTAGTTTGTTTTTAGCGTGGTCGCAGTGTGCGTGTGGGAGAGCTGCCGGTGTGACTGAGCGGACCCCCTCAGCCCCGATCCTGCCTATACCTGGACCAAGGACAACCTGCCCACCCCCCTGGCTGGCTGGTCGATCCGGAAGGGAGACGAGTGTGGCGTACGGCGTTGCCTGTCTTGAGGGCGGACACGTGCCCGGTCTTGGAGCTGTAGTGCATGCGTACGTGTTGTGTTATGTAATTCAGAAGTCTGAGCATGTGTGTCTGCCTGTCACTGTCCTGCACAGGCTCAGACCACACAGGGTTTGAGGGGGGGCCTCGTATGCGTTCTTTGGCTTTGCCATGTGACTGTGGGGCGCGAGGAGGTCAGGCAACAGGCTTCCATCGTGGGGCAATTCAGTGCCAACATTACATCCAACAGGTGGGATTGAACTGTCGTGTTCTTTATAGCTGGGCCACACGGGTGACATTGGTACTTTTATATTGAAAATGCTTTTTATAATAATGATTTAGTCTAAATATATGCCAAAACTTTTGTAAATATAAAGACATATTAGCACATAGCAGTAAAATTGGCATCGTGTGCTATTGTATTCCTCATGTTATTACAGATATTTTCTCGAATTATTAACTTCGACTTGGTCAATGATAACTAAGTCTAAGTCCACATCCAGATGATCTTACAGTTGTTCAATTGGATGATGACAAACACTGATACAGCCAGCCCTACTTTGTAAACAACCATCTTTTTTTTTAGCATTAGTAGATTTTTCCTGTGTGACTAGTCAACCATGTGCATAGACACACAGAATACGTATTTTTCTCACTAAAGCTGAACCATGGCTTAATATTTATTTTCAGCGCTGCAGAAGTGTTTGCATAGCAGCTCTCATTTCTTCCTTACAGACACCACAAGCCTCAGTGACTTTAAAGCGGTGTTATCTATGTACTGCCAAAACTGATAGCAGCTTTCCTCCAAGGCTTTGATAGGATTGTGTGATCAGACATGAGCAGAGCTGAAGTTTAACTCTGCATTTATACAAAGTATGTTATTACAGCCCAGATATAGTTCATGCACACGCCCCGTGTAGGGCTGCTGTGGAGGTTCTGTCTCCTGGTGTGGCACAAACATCTGATCGTAGAAGCTCTCTGGCCTTTGGAGGGATTCTGTCTCGTTGCTGTTTCTTTTTTATCTCTTTCTCAAGAATGAGAAGGTGAAAGTTGAACTTCCTGCTCCATTTCTTTTCAGCTCCAATGTTGCTCTCTTAATAAGCGGTTTAATTTCTTTCTGACTTTTATTTATTAAGTTTTCAGGGTGCATTCTTGCATACTAGAATTCCAGCCTCTTAAATTCTTTTTTTTAAATAAATAAAGCTATTTTTAAATATAATGGGTTTCAGTTGCAGCCCACAGGAAAACAGTTGTGTTCAGTTCAAGTGATGAGCCGGCTTGTCAGTCGTTCCTGGTCATGGGAGATGGTCATGTGAGCTGGTTGCCATGGTTAAAGGGGGGTAGGGATGCGGTATGGCAGCTCGGGGTGGCCTCGTGACCTACGGGAGTTCACCCACCGCTGCAGTGGTGACTGTAAGAGAGACGCGCGTCGGCCTGTTTGATCGTCCTCCTCTGACTTTCCAGAAACATCTTTTCTTTGCTCATGACAGGAGGTGGTGGTGAAAGCTTGCTTGCTATGTAAAGACATATAGAGGTTGATCATGAAATATATTCTTCCTTATATATATATATATATATATATATATATGTATATATATTGTAACTATTTAGAACAGGGTTCCGTGTGTTGATTGCTGGGCAGATCTGTGGCGTCTCCGCTCTTGTTCTGCTGTTGGTAGCAGTTGCTCTGAGAGGAAGTGTTGCGACAGACGCAGAGAGCGTGGGTGGTGTGTTTGCATTTTTTCGACATGGGACTTAATCACCATATAGGCTCCTTGTTGAATTACAGACTTCTCCTTCTCTCCCAGCGTCATCATGCTATTTCCGAGGCTGTGTTGTGTTCAGGAGTGTGGTTGCTGCTTGGTTTTCTTGGCAGATGTGCCTGTTATGTACTGTGTCTATCTGAGGCTGCGTGCTCCCTGAAATCTATTTTGCTCTACCAGGCTCCTCTTTTTCTACATGTTGTTCATTATATTGAATATAATTCAATAATAAAGGCATTCGCTTGCATTTAGTCAGAGAAGAGCAGCTTGGTTGGGAGTTTGGGGAGTTGTTGTCCTTTCACCTTTTAACATAAAACAGAAATAACCACTTGCTTCTTATTTGTCTTGCTCTGCAAGGTTGAATGAGCTTTGTTTTTGCTATCTCCCAGTCAGGGTTAACACACATACACACATACACACACTCGTTAACTCACGTTATGCAGCATTACCAGCATCAAAACTTTATCCAAAACTTTAGTTTTCTACTGGATTGAGGAAAGAGGTCGTGAATGTTTATTCGTTCAGTTGTCTGCCCCTCTGACCTGTAAATCAGGGAGCGGCCTTCTCTTCTCAGAGCTGTCTGGATTGAGACGGAATTCTTCCCATTCTTGTCATGCCTTCTACTGTAATGTCTGGACACGTCTTTGGCCTGAGCTGTAAGAGCAATGGAACGAAAGTTAGGATGCGACACGTACAGAGTTGGTTATGTGTACTTTATGGTTCATGTCACAGCGGTTGCCCCTCAAGTCTGATTGGAAATAACTTGTTTGCCAATGTTCCATGTTTGAGGGCAAGAACAACAAACATCAAGTTGGAGAAAGGCAGAGTAACTCAGTCCGGTTGCAAACAGTGTTGGATATGATGGGTGGGTGGAGAGCAGGAAATCAGGTTTATGGTTTGATTTGAACTTTCCACATGTACAATTAATTATTAACTCTTAAAAATGGTAATAAGACCTTCAACACATCTAGTTGCATGTTGTTACTTTTGGCCTCACTGAGTCAGGACCGTGCTGCTGTTGCTCTCCAGCAGGCCTCAGATCCAGCTACTGAGGTTTGGGTGTGGTTTCTCACTCGAATGACAGGCTGGCTTCTCTGCCAGGGGCCTTGAATACTTCCTTGTAGCTTGTTTGGGTGCTATTGTTTTATCATAGGCCTACTTCAGATGTTTAGAAGTGATGCATTAGGTCACATTTACACCATATTGGACTTGGAAGTTAGACGTTTGTAACCATTGGTTGGGAAGTTGCCCTGGAGGATTTTTTGTGTGATACGTGATACTGCAACCCCTCCACGAAGACGTCTCAGGGCACAGGCAGCAACACTACAGCGTCTCTGGATTTGGATTGGGTTGAACTGGCTATTTGTGACTCCATCACAGTTTGTGTGCTTTTATGGCACGTTTCCACCGAGCGGTACGTGATCAAATCACGTCAATCTACATTCCGTCATATACCACGCCTATCGAGTGACGTTATCACTACTTTCTGGAATACACCACGCCTATCAAGTAAGGGTACTGTTGGAGGTGGAAATGCTCGCCAAATAATGGTTAACAGACCCGACCCGTACCATACCGTACCGCTCGGTGGAAACGCAATGAATAGCTAATAAGTACAACTTAACAGCAGATACTAATGAAAATGTGGTTGTTTCATGTGTTAATCCATTAAACATTCCTATTCTTTTGTCATGATGCCGAAATCTCCACCTAGTTCCCACAGTTGCTGCTCGGCTCAGTTTGTTGCAAGTGGGTCCCGGTAGGAGTTGACGTTGTGCTACGGACACTTTAGCAAGACAGGATGCTTGATGTCAATGGGGTCTGAACTCCGGCCTTCTGGTGTAAGAAATCTGTCTTCACTCACGACATCGTTCCGCTTCCTGCTTTGTTCACAGTTGAACTTTCGATTCCGGTAGATCTGTGGTCAGAAGACACTTTGCGGCATCCTCCTCCGCCTGATACCGGGTCATGTGACGGCTTCCTACCACTCTGGCGTTGCCCCCTGTCACCATAGCAACATGAGCATTATGACTAACATGCCGTGACATCTGTGACCTTCTCCTCTCATTTATTTTACTCATTCCATCATCTTTCTCCCCGGCTCTCTTCTCCAGAGCGTCTGACTGTTGTCATCAATACTCTGGATTCGGTCATTTCGGACACCTTTTTCACACCTTTTCTTTTATTACATTCTATGAATTTGTCACTCTGTGAGAAATGAAGAGGATTTTTACATCCAGGCCGTGTTACTGTCTGGGTGCGCTTATAAAGCTATTTACTCCTCTTCAGTCTCTCCGTTCCTTCTCCCAGTTATCAGTCCAGATTCATCATCAAACATTTCTCGGGAGGCAGGGTTATGCAATATCTATTTTATAACCTGAGCTACCAGGGGGCAGAAAAAGAACCTTGTGGGAGAGAGATGCTAAAAAAAGGAAGAGCTGTAGCGAGAAGTACATGTAAGATGCCTTACCACTCAATTCTCAGGATACGTGTTTGTCATTCTTCTTATCCAGGGGCATTCGTATGGATATCTACTACATTTTTGAACCAACTTATGGTAATATTGGCCAAAATGTTATATTAGTAACTTTCCTAAAACCCGCTCATAAGCAACCACCCCCGCTCCATGCCGACTGTCGTCGGACGTCACGACATCACGTGCTCTTATCGTTATTTAATGCCACTGGAGGCATTTCATTTAGAGCTATTCAAAAAGCTGATATTTCTTACGTGCAGAAAAACATAACATATCGTAGCGAGTTTGGAAAATAACAGTAAAGTAATTAACTTTGCTATAAATACGATTGTTTTTAAATCTCTCAAAGTTTATTATTTCCTACAATTATACAACACCCAAGGTATCGGAGCTTAATTATTTACCTTTCGGAAAAAATTACCCAAATACGGCTCCTTACAGGAAACGTGCACTGACAATTGAGTGTGTAGCAATGCTGACTGATCCCTTTGTTTATCCTGTGAAATTACACTGGAGCCTCACCCAGAATGCCAAAGTCTTGTCTCATACAGCAACATAGTGCACCAGGAAGGGAGCATGACGGTGCAGTTGTCAGAACTAAACATTCATACCTCTGCGGCCAAAACTGCTTTAACACCTAATACATTGTCACTGAGTCGTGAGTCACAAATTGGTCTCTCTCATTTAATTCCGAAACCACTGTGATATTTTTGTGCCGACAAGGTGCAGTGTATGTTTGACCTCCATTTTCTCATTGTTCACTCAGGCAAGATGATGATTATCGTGCATGAAACTGTTATTACATGTTGGAGATATAGCGGATGACCCAGAAATGACCCTTTACATTGAATTCAGTTCTGGGAATTTTAGAGAAGCTAAGCCCGGAGGAAATTGCCCATTTCCTGCTTGGAGCTGGCAGAGGAAGTGTCCCGTGACACTGGGAATCTCCATTCTACTGACCCAGATCACTGCGCTCTGGATCCCGCTGCACTTTGGCTACCAGCACCATTGCTTTGCAGTTTTAAAGTATTCATGCATTACCGCCTATGGTGGCCTACGGTGGCTTGTGGGTTGCAAGTCGGAAGTATGCTAGCCTTCAGAAATTCCCATTATCTTAGACCTGGACGTTGACTCGTTGGAGTTTGACCTGACTGTATTTTATCATCGGTTTGCATGAAATAATGGTCTGAACAACATGACGTGAATGTGGTCATCTCTACATGTTAATTCTGGTAATTCAGTGCCAAAATCTCCAGCCATATTTAAGTGTAATAGCGGAGCAACGGCAGGCGTGTTTGGTATCTAAATGGAGAACCTTTATTTTACAGATCACAGTTTTAGTGCTGGGATCTAACTTAAGTCTTCCACCCAGTCCTCCTGCTCAGTGTCTTTGAAGGATTCTAAAATGACAACTGCTGTCTGTTTATGCTCATATGCAAATATCTTGCTGGGCTACAGGCACAATAAGATAACTGAAAGCATGTTAACAGATGGGAGCTGCGCATAAATCTGGAGCTCTCTGCTCCTTTCTTGCCTTTGGCATGTTGTGCTTGGTTACAAAGTAATTTGCTGATCAATGGGTGTGCTCTAATTCACTGTCTGGCCGCTGAGATTTCAGTGTGTCCTTATCCTACTGCCTGTGGGCTTTTACCAAAAGAAAACACCAAGATGGATAAAATGTACAACTCCGGGAGATCGATTTGTCATCATCAGAGGCACTGAAATCAAAAGCATTTCCCTCAGAAGTCTTTGCACAGCGACTGTCTACGTTTGGAGCCAGAGTGTTCAATTCAGTTTTCCTGAAAACAAGTTGCCATGGGCAACGTAGCTTTGAGTAAATCTCAGAATAAACTACACAAAATACAACGCAGGATGCTGTCCACCATAACACGCTTCACACCTGTCATATGATGTGAGACTGAATGGTGTTCGGTGTTGGTGATCAGTGTGGTGACAGGAAGGAAGGGTGTCTCCATCGAAGACTTCCTGTCCCGTTGTGTGACTCAGTGTCGGTCCTTGTGCGTGCTCTTTTCCTTTTCCCTTCACTCTTCTCTTCCTTCGTGCCATGGGACATGCCTCAGCGTATCCACGCTCAGATTTGTCTTCATTTACTTTACTAGCTGGTTGGACAAAAACACGGTATTGACTTGCTGTAGGGAGCTTTAATGTTGTTGTTGTGGTAGACAATTGTTGACATCTGTTAGCCTTTGGACAGAGCCAGGGTAGCTTTTCATGCTAAGCTAGCAGGGTGCTCGCATCAGCTTCACATTTACCGATCACATGTGGTATCATTTATTTTCAACCCGAACTCTTTCAGCAGGAAAAGCCCAAAAACACATATATCCCAAAATGAAACCATTCCTTTGATGTGTGTTCAGCACTAGTTTCAGCTGATTAATTATCCATATGACTTCAAATCTGTTTTCCACATGTAACAAAACATCTGACTGACATTAAAAAACAACAAACCCATCTGTATTCTTAGGATAATTACAACAGGCTCTTCACACGTTCAGTATCTTAGAATATTCACTTGATCCTCTTTCAATTTGGAACATCAAGTTGATCGCTATAAAAATGATTGATATCGCGTTAGTGTATCTCTGGGTCTGTAATGAGATTCCATCTAATTAAAAAGGTGGGTAGTCCTAATAGTTGCAGCGGCAGTGTGTCTAGAACAATCTAAAACAGATCAATAAACAAGCTGAGTGACGGAGAGGAAGACGTGTTGGACCGAGGAGAAGGAAACTGAGAAGAGGAGAGGAGGAAACACAGCGACAAGAAGGACAGGAGGAGTCCTGCAGGTCTCTCGATGGGGCTAATGCCATTAGTATGACCGTGCAGCCGGATCATATGACTCACAGTCATTATTGCTCTTCCTTTATTTACCCTGACACACACACACACACACGCACACATTCCACCATGCCACACATCCTGTAGAGTTAGTTTCCCCCGCTCTCGCCTTGCAGCCAGACAAGTGGTTATCCAAACATGTGCGTGGGCTCACACAAATGAGGCCTTTCCTAGAGTGTGTCGCACATGAGCGCACATCTCTGAATGTCTCCGCGCCGCGTTTCCAGCCTCTGGGCTCGCCTTCTCGTGTCATCGCGGGGTGCGTAAGCCCCCCTGGCCATATGGACTGTGAGGGGCTTAGTGGACCTTCAGCCGGACCCCCCCGGACCCTCTTAGAGGGCCAGCTGTGTGAAGGCGGACTCAGGGGGTCAAGCTGTCATCTTCTCAGGTGCTTGAAACTTCCTGTCTGGAAAATGAAGATAAGTCCGAGGGGTCAATCATGCATCATTTTGCAGATTTTATGAGCGAATATAGTATTATTGCTTTAATCGGTGCAGCTTTAGTCTGTTGTGTAATAATCACTTGCTTGTGATCTGCGGATCTCAGCAATCTAAGGTGGGCAGATGGCTCTATCTTGCTCACCGATGACTATCTTTCTCTCTCTTCCTCTTCTTCTCTCCATCACTTTTTTTTCTTCATTTGCACATGTCTATGTTCATGTGTGAGCCCTGCGCGTCTTTGTGTCTGTGTGTGTGTTGTTGTAGGAATATCTTCTCTCTGGACCATATGGTGCAACACTGCCTGCTGGGCAAAGATAAGTCCCCAATGCAAAGACAGCAGAGCCACCCGAACACACACACACACACACATCCGCCTACACACTCAACACAATTATTCCAGTTGTAATTAGTTTACATCTTCACGTTTGTTGTTAGAAATACCTAACTGGCCTTTATTGTGTTCATTTGTCAGTCTTTCTTCTCCCCTCGCTGTTCCTCCTCCTCCTCCTCCTCCTCCACTGCCTCCTCCTCCTCCTCCTCCTCTGCCTCCTCCTCCTCCTCCTTCGCTGTCTGCTTTCAGCATGCCTGCCTATATCTCTGGATCTCTACCCTCTTTTTCCAAGCAACTTACCCCCAGCTTACCTGAGTCATCGGGCCTTTCCTGTCATCTCATACCTTCTTCCCACACGTCCAACCAGCCGCGTGGAAGTTTGTGTTTTTAGCTTTCTCGGTTCATTTTGCTACATCCTCACGTTCTTTTACCAGGAGCTTCTAGCTTGGGTTCAACCATGTGGGGGGTATCGTTTCAACATGATCTGATTGTGACAAGGAACACAAGTATATCTACATTCATAGAGAAACGAGGAAGCCTTTGGGTGGGAGACAAAACTGCTTCAAGAATCGGGTGTTGTTTCTCACTCACATTTGGAGAGGTAACGTGATATGTATTCAGTATGGGGAAAGAAAAACAAAGGTTCAATTTTCTTACCCAAACCCTACTTGGCAGGGTGGAACGGTGGTTTGCCTCACAGAATGGAGGTCCTCAGTTCAAATGTGCATAGCGCTGCACTGGAGGGAGTGTGCATGTTCTAAACGTGCCTGTGTGGGTTCGTCTTACGACTTCCTCATGCGAGTTAGGGTATAATTTGTCCGTGGGTGTATAAATACGACGGGGATGTCTTTCCTGCGATGGACCGGCGACCAGTCCAGGATGTGCCTCGTCCTCGTCTGTCGAGTCCCCACCACGACTGTCTGAGCGGTTTAGACAGTAGTTGTGGTTCACAAACACTTTTCACACCTCACAAACCAACTTCCTCGTTCCAGTTTTGATATTGAATACATTTACTTTTTTTTGTTGAAAGGTCCGACTAAACTGTTCAAGCCCCGTCTGATTATCAGACAACTTGCATCAGACCGTGTTTTCTTTCCTGTGTTGCCAGATCTCATAGATTTATGTGGCAAATTAAAGGAGAAAGTACAACAGCTTAAAAATCAGAAATATCAGAAGATATATAAGATGAATATGTCATAAGAAGTTGTAATAAACCCAATACTTTCAAAGTTGAATTGAATTGGTTAATGAAACATTTGCATTGTGTAAATACACAGAAGTAATGTAGCCTTAATATTAGCTGTCTCTGTCTTTTTATAAACAATTGGAAATAATAAATTCCTTGAACTGTTTAAATATTTGTTTTGAAGCAAGTAAATTATGATTTTATATATATGATGATTTTTATATAAGAAGCCCAAACTTATCGGCAATACCACCGATATTAACCTTCTCTGTTTGCCTGACTACACGTCCTTCTTTCTGTCTGTTTTGTACCTGCGTAGACTTGTAGACTTGCAGCCCAGCCAGACTGCATGAAAAAAGGAAGGTCACTGAAATTAAAGTACTCTAAAACTCCCACGCTTCTCCTGTAGCCCGTCTCTCTCTCTCTCTCTCTCTCTCTCTCTCTCTCTATCAAATTAGGCAGGCAAGTATTCACCTCACAATCTGAGAACATTGATGGAAATGATCAACATTATGGTGCTTTCTTATGGAGTGTTGAGACATACAAACCTCCATGGCACAAATCCTCCACCACCCCCCACTGCCTCTTGTGCTGCTAGCTGCAAACTGTCCAACGTGGTAACATGGATGAGGGCACAGCTGGAGGAGAAATGTAAAGAGACGTACAAGGAGAGGGGGGCGGAGAGGGAGGCAAGGCGGTTGGAAGATAGTTAAGTGAGAGTCTTTGACCGTTTCTGTTATGTTATTCAGCCAGTCAGACGGATACAGGGGAGGGGGGCGGGATGAAGTGAGAGACACGTGCAGAGGAAGGTGAAGGATAAAGACACAGGCCCGGGAACAAAAGCAACAGCAGTTAGTATGAAACAGAAAGGTAGCGACTACCTTAGTCACCATGACAACAACACATTTAAAACCAGCATTTAATTGGTGGTGTCTGCACTTGTCTGTTGTATCTCCATCCAGCTCCCTCTGTGTACAGTAATTACACTGGGATTTGTAAGTATCTTGCACCAGCACAGACCTGCCTGCGATATGGTATATATTATACTGTATGGTTTGTGAGGTTACGCTGTAATATATGACTGCCACTTCAGATTAGATTGAGTCAGTATAGATTAGTCATGATAGGTGAAATAAATCAAGCACAGGCATCTTGAGGAGTCAGATCAGACAGGGCTGATTGTGAGAGAGATACTCAAGTTCCGTGTAACGAGAGCAAGGATTTCTACTAGTTTGTACTTGTTTGTGAGAAACTGGGTGTCACATGTTTATCTAACATCCTAAATAACTCCTGAAAACTGTGGTACCAGACGTAAAGGTTACCTATCTGCACATTGTCCGGCAAATTTGAATTTAAGGCGGATTCTTTGTTTCAGCGTTGGATTGCAAAGGCAACCTTTGTGCAGAATTTACTGTTGCTTCTACACCAGTGTAATAACCAATTAGTTGCAGTTTTTCAGGTTGGGATTTGTGTGAAAAGTAGGTGTGGTACACAAGCTTGACTCCTGGCTTTTGCACAAAACCAAGTCCCTGGACCTTAAAAGAGTTTTGACATCTCGCTTCAAACAAGTCTTGTCTTAAACCTTTTTCTAATCGTTACTTCGTCAGTGCACAAAACGTTTTGGAGAAGTGAAAGCCCTGGTTGGCAAACAGCTATTTACCGCTTTTCAAGGTGCAGAGCTCTGAATGTGTCTTTCAGGCCCCCCACAGGTTATTTGTCTATTTTCAGAGAACTGTAGGCGGTGAAAAGCCTGTAGTCGAGCCAGGACAAGACGAAATGTTCTTTTAAGAGTGTGACAGCAGCACTGATACCGACATATATGCAGGAAGAGAGGACAATAAGAGGAATCACTGTTTTAACGGAACTATATGAATGTTGGATATGGAGAAATACAAACAAAAAGATATAGGCTATTCTTTTATAGCTCATCAAGGAGAAAAGCCTACCTAGATTTGTGTTTGATACATCCTGATTTCATGAGAAATTGCTTATTGATATGATTTAAAGTGTCGCCTTCAATGAGCCGATGAGTAAATTGCATGCTAAATTGAAACATTTTTACACATTGGTCAAACTCCCACATGTACAGCCAGTTGGCCTAACTCGGCTTCAACTGACCTCAAATACAATTTACATTTCTTTTTTTCGATTTCGAATGGCAATTCACAGGTAAGTAGATAAAAGTGCTTATAAGGAGATACGGTATTTTCTTATGCTCATTTCATTGTTTTGTTTCCTCATCAAATTGGTGAGCCTTAAAGTTTATGGTAACTTTAATACCTTTATACAAATTTCATTTTATTAAGGTCAAAAGAAAAGATAAATGATAAAATGTTCATTTAGCAGTTATTATTATTATTATTATTGTTAGTTTGCGACTGCGGATTCTGCGGGACCCAAAAACAACATGTCAACAAGGCGCAAGCGTTAATAGAACAAAGAGGAGAAAGTAGCAACTCTTGATCACAAACACACAGTAGGTGTTTTGATGTAAAAACACCCAGACTCAGCTGTGCATTCCTGTGAAGTGAATTCATTCCCTGCACCTCCTGGGAAACACACACCAACACACTTACTTACACTCAAACACCTTCTCTCTCTCTCTCTCTCACGGACACACACACACACACACACACTGTGGAGTATTGTGGCTGTGTCTGAGCCTGCAGTTGATAAGATAGGGTTGGGTTGCACAGCTCGCAGGCATGTATTGTAGCCGTTGACAGGAAGCTGAAACAGGGCGGGATGGTGCGGCTTCAAATCTACATGCCTGTTTGTGTCTGTTTGCATGTGCATGCGTGCGTGTGTGTCTGTCCCGTCTAACGCTGGCCAAACTGTTTCCCAAATATACACTTTTCCCACACGAGTGCCTCATTTTACTCGTGGGCTGAGTGGGTTCTTGTGCTCCGCGTGAATGAATGCGTCTGCCCCAGAAAAGATTAGAGAGAGAGGAGCCAAACTCAAGGTCTGTCTGCATTCTGCCATTTGCCCACCAGACGGGACCGTGGGGCGACTGTACTAGCTGGCACTATTGTGTTCTTGTGAATGGAGGCCCTGTCACAGACCCACAAACACACTGACCTCGCTCTGTTATCTACCCGAGTCACGGGGTTCAAGCGCTGCAGGGTGAGTTATTAATCATAGAGGCATCTGTGATTCTCATGTATTTCGCAAACTAATGGAATACGTGCGAAAACAGCGACTTCCCAGTCCGGTATCTGCAACTAGCTTAGAAATAATAATATTGTATTTGTGGACATTTCACAAGTGAAATGTTTTAATTCACAAATGCAATATTTCATATAGATCTAGTTCAATGTTTCCCAAACTATCATGTTTTTAGTTACAAACAATGACAACCCAGTTCCCCCCTGTATAAAATATGAAGAGCAATCTGGTGCCTCCCTCTTTTACTCTAAATGTCCACGTCTTGAGTTAGTAAACTAGCCATTTTGCAGAGATATACGATACATAAAAGCTTGTGTAAAATGAGAAGACATGAATGCATTTAGGCAGAGTTAACTGGGCATCTCCTTCTTTCATTTTTCTCTAATCAGTAAGAGTCGTATGCGCAGACTAAAATAATGGGACGTTGTTTTTCAACCCCGGTCTCGGGGAACAACAGCTTGGAAGCGTGTCCGCAGGTATCAGAGATAAGCACTTACAGTGGCATACAGTGAATGGAATTCTTTCAAGCACTAAGGGTTCGATGTGGGAATATTGATTGGCTACAAGGTCAGGTATTGCTTTGCATATCCAATGGGTTCATTGAAAAACATCAGACCATCATTTGTATGACTCAAAGCCACACAAATAAGCAATACATGCAAATCCAGACAAAAAGAATGAGGTTGATTTGTTTTGTTGACACTATAAACAAAGTTCCTTCTAGTTTATTCGTCTCCCCACCACATGCGCAAGAGGTATAGCGCAAATTACTTTTTGCATTGAATCCATTACAACTTGCATTTCAGGGGCAACGGCAAACTCCTGTTTTGCACAGCGTTTTTTTACCTCGCAATGCGACGTGAAAGGATATTCCATTAGTTTGTGGGGGTCACAGTCAAACAGCTCGTCTGGGAGAGGAGCCTCTCTCCCTATGTGCCGTCCTCAGCGAGAGGGAGATAAAAGAGAGGTTAGCGGTGTGTGAATAGATGACTCACACTGTGTAGGTGCAGGAAAAATAGATTAGAGTCCTGTGGACCCTCAGGGTTTTATTTTACCTCGAATTTATCTTTTGAGAGTGAAAGAAAGGTGCAAAAATAAAGGCTGTTGCTCAGAGCAACATGACAGATAGCAGCCATTTATCAATCCATCTATATCTATATTAGATATAGATATAGATATTTAATCATTTCGTCTAGATCTCTTTTGATCTAAATATTTGTTTTAAATATATAAATATGTGTTTTGTCCTGCTCATGTCCTGCTGCGTGGGCGTGTGAAGTGTCGGTCGGCAGAGCTATTACACTGTTCTGCGATGAAGAACTATGATGATGATCTGCATTATGGCACAACTCATTACGTGACTGACAGAAAAGGATGAGCCGTATGCAAGAGCTGGAACGGAGATGGTAATGAGTGTGATAATGTGTGAATTTGATTTTGTTGCTGTCAAATATATCAGATAATGGTTTTATCAAGAGGCAACTCTATTTATTTTACATGTCAAAGTCAATTTACCAATTTACCAATTTACCAAGAGTAATACAGAGACTTTGATAACTGCTGTTTAATACCCTCTGTGACCCTCTGTGACTGCGAAGAAGCTTTGTTGAGGCCAGACAAATTGTAAACTACGCTTAAAGACTTTAAAGTGGTGGATTTGCTGCGTAACTATAGTTCTATTCAAAGCTATCAAGGACTCACAGTGTGGATCTCAACATATGTCGCTACATGTCTTAAAGGACCCTTTCCTCGTTTTAAACATAATGATCAGTTTACTTTTCAGTGGGTCGATAATCAAAACCCTTCATTTCTTTTCAAATAAAGTACTTAAATAAAACCGGGTTACTTA